CGGGGGGTCTGGGGCTCCCCCTTCCCCCTCCCGGGGAGGGGAGAGCTGCGCAGACAGCGGCGCGGCAGTGTGTGACGTCACACTAGTTTGCTTGTTTTCGGTTGGGGAGTTCTATCCACTAGTTCGGTTTTAGGTAGCAATTTTAACCAGAATAGGGGTTTGTTTTGGGGCGCTTACCTTTCTGGGTGCCTGTTCCGGTCGATGGCAGACATAGAATGCTTCCAACTACACGGGGGCTTCTATAGCCCATTGCTCCCCTTGCCTCTCTGAGGGGGCCCGGTTCTGGCCGTGGTCCCCGGTAGGCCTAAGAACTCCATACACATGACTGATGCCAAAGTCTGACATTAGCATATCAGCCTGGGATAGCTCCGGGGAGCCGACGGGGCTCCCCCCAGAAAACTAGCGTTGAATGTAATGAAACACCATTTTCTGGGTGAGCCCCGGAGGTTCCCTGGAGCTATTATACTAATATACGCAATATTAGACTGGGGCATCAGTCAATTGGAGTTCAGCCTACCAAGGACCATGAGGCAGAACCTGGCCCCTCAGACGGGTACAGGGAGCAATGGCCTATGGAAACCCCCATGTGTTTGGGAGCATTCCGTGTCTGCCATCGACCAGGGTTAGGCACCCAGAAAGGTAGGCATAACGAAACAGACCCCACTTGGTAAGGAAATTGCAACCGAAGACCAAACAGAGAAGCAGAAGTCCCCCAACCCAAATAAACAAGCAATCACCATACACCACCGTTGCACCACTTGTTTATTATTATAAAAAAGGAGGATTATTTAATACGGGTGGTACACTCACAAGAGGACACAGGTGGAAGCTAAGTACCCAAATGAGCCACAGACACATTAGAAAGAACTTTTTCAGTGTTAGAGTAATTAGTAAATGGAATCCACTAGGAAGTGATGTGGTGGAGGCTGACTTTATACAGTTTCAAATGTAGACAAGATGGAGCTTGAGAAGCTCAGGAATCTGTACTAGGAATAGGAAAATATTGGAGGGGTGACAGGTAAGCTTCTATCATGGATGAAAAATTTTCTGATAGAAAAATGAGGGCAGTAATCAGAGGCAATGTATCGGAATGGAGAAATGTCACAAGTAGAGTACCACAGGGTTCAGTTCTTGCACCAGTGATGTTTATTGTCTACATAAATGATCTACCAGTTGGTATACAGAATTATATGAACATGTTTGCTGATGATGCTAAGATAATAGGAAGGATAAGAAATTTAGATGATTGTCATGCCCTTCAAGAAGACCTGGACAAAATAAGTATATGGAGCACCACTTGGCAAATGGAATTTAATGTTAATAAATGTCATGTTATGGAATGTGGAATAGGAGAACATAGACCCCACACAACCTATATATTATGTGAGAAATCTTTAAAGAATTCTGATAAAGAAAGAGATCTAGGGGTGGTTCTAGATAGAAAACTATCACCTAAGGACCACATAAATAATATTGTGCAAGGAGCCTATGCTATGCTTCCTAACTTCAGAATTGCATTTAAATACATGGATGGCGATATACTAAAGAAATTGTTCATGACTTTTGTTAGGCCAAAGCTAGAATATGCAGCTGTTGTGTGGTGCCCATATCCTAAGAAGCACATCAACAAACTGGAAAAGGTGCAAAGACATGCTACTAAGTGGCTCCCAGAACTGAAGGGCAAGAGTTACGAGGAGAGGTTAGAAGCATTAAACATGCCAAAATTAGAAGACAGAAGAAAAAGAGGTGATATGATCACTACGTACAAAATAGTAACAGGAATTGATAAAATCGACAGGGAAGATTTCCTGAGACCTGGCACTTCAAGAACAAGAGGTCATAGATTTAAACTAGCTAAACACAGATGCCAAAGAAATATAAGAAAATTCACCTTCACAAATACAATAGAGTGGTAGACGGTTGGAACAAGTTAAGTGAGAAGGTGGTGGAGGCCAAGACCGTCAGTAGTTTCAAAGCGTTATATGACAAAGAGTGCTGGGAAGACGGGACACCACGAGCGTAGCTCTCATCCTGTAACTACACTTAGGTACTTACCACTAGATTGACAGTTGAGGGTGGGACCAAAGAGCAAAAGTTCAACCCCAGCTAGCACATCTAGGTGAGTACTTGTCTGTGCAGCCCTCCCCTCTCCAGACCCCCCCCCCCCCGTGCCGGCTATTCACCTCCAGTTTGGAGGCTGAGCATCAAAACAAAACAGAAACTGCTGACCAGAGGGAGGGAGGGTGCCGGGAAGCCTCCAGGGCTCACCCAGAAAATGGCATTTCATTACATTCAACACTGGTTTCCTATGGCAAACCTCTCTGGCTCTCTGGAGCTACCTCACCAAAGACAAGTAAAAGAGGGGGACTTACAATAGAGGCGGCCTCCACACACTCATCAACTCTAAAAGTCGAGACAACTGGCTGCAACCTGCGACCCAAAGTCACACATGAACTACCTGGACTAGGAATACTGACCAGATAACGGGTGGCCAGGACCCTGTTCGACCTCCAAAACCCCTACGCCCAAATGTCAGCCCAAGACATGTGTCAAACATGTCAGCCAATGCAGCAAACTTACAAATATCATGGGCACGAGGGTAGACCGCAGGTAAGCTAGACTTAATAACCCAGCGAATGACCTGGAAAACCTGAACCCTGGTAAAGGGAACGAGGAAAATCGTATCAACACAAAGCACGTACCCAGCCACAGAAGCCGAGGAGCGCAGATAACGATAAAGCGCCACAACACATGATGCAACCCCGACCTGACCAAACAAGTACCAATGACCCCAAGGGCCCCTCCGGAAAGCCGCTATTTTGTTCTTTGCCAGAAAAGAAAGCAACGGCTATAAACAAGCAAACAGACCACCAGGTCCGAAAAAGCAGAAACCCCTGCGCCAGAGGAGGGCATGAAGCTCACCAACCTGACCCCCTGAGGCCAATGCCAACAGAAACAGAGCTTTGGAAAAACAATCTTGAACTCCTCCAAATGTACTCACTAGAAAGAAGACGAGAGAGATATCAAATAATATACACATGGAAGATACTGGAGGGCCAAATACCAAATCTACACAGTAAAATAACGTACTGGAGTGAACGATATGAAAGAAAATGCAGAATAGAACCAGTGAAGAGCAGGGGTGCCATAGGCACAATCGGAGAACACTGTATAAACATCAGAGGTCCACGGTTGTTCAATGTCCTCCCAGCGAGCATAGAAATATTGCCGGAACAACCGTGGACATCTTCAAGAGGAAACTAGATATATTCCTCCAAGGAGTGTCGGACCAACCGGGCTGTGGTAGGTATGTGGGCCTGCGGGCCGCTCCAAGCAACAGCCTAGTGGACCAAACTCTCACAAGTCAAGCCGGGCTTGGGGAGTAGAAGAACTCCCAGAACCCCATCAACTAGGTATCAACCAGGTAACTGAAGGGGCAACCACAAACTGAGGAGAAAAGAAAGCACCCGGTCCAAGGACCAGGATTGCTCAGGTGGTGCATGAGCAGGTGAAACAAGGCATGAGAAAGCTTGCAAAATGGGGCCGAAGTGATATCCACCCCGAATGCAAGTTTAAGCGGCTCTGCCAGCGCCGCACGATAAGAGGTGACAGTATTGGGCATCATATGACAGTCCTAAAAAGCCAAGAAAGAATGGACAATACAACCATATCAGAAATAGAAGAAAACCTACGAAGACAGAAAATGGCGAAAAGAACACCAGGAAACTTCATACTGTCACCGAGACGAAGCTCGCAGGTGGGACTTGGTGGTGGTGGCTCGCAGGTGGTGGCTTAAAGAAGCCACCTGATCACCATACAAGTGGTGATAAACCTGCATAAAAAAAAACAGACGCGAAGAGAGCAGGAGTAGACTGAACCAGCTGTGTACCAGACCGGTCCGATCTGCTGAAAATGCACTGGGTTAGGACACTGCACAAGCAGTGCCTGAAACCAAGGCTGAGCTGGCCACCAAGGGGAAGTCAGAAGGACGAATGGAGGAGTCGGTGTCGACTGTCCATTCGGTGGACAGGGGAATGAACCATGAGAGTCCATCTCAGGATAAGAACAGAGTCAAACCCTGAGAAGCCAGCAGATGAATCATTAAGCAACCAGCCCCAAAGAGCCAATGACCGAACAGAACCCCCGCAGTTCACACAATGAAACGCCAGAGAGCAGTCCGAATGGAGCCGAATCGTGGATTACCGAGCAACAGCCAAACTGCTGCAAACTCCCGCACCGTGTTGTGAACCCGACAGAAGAACAGAGCCCACTGCCTCTGACCGGCCTGGTGAGAACTGGTCACAAATCCCGAGCCAAGAGACGAGGCATCTGTGAACACATCGAGCGAGCGCTCGGGTAGGCATAAAAGCACTGAACCCCCAAAACCCCAAAGAGGAAGTCAGTGACGTAACAACTGATGCAATCCCCTCTTCCCCCTCCTAGGGAGGGAGGAGCTGCGCAGACAGCAGCGCGGCGACATGTGACGTCACACTAGTTTGCTTGTTTTCTATTGGGGGGTTCTATCCACTAGTTCGGCTTTTGGTAGCAATTTTAACCTGAATAGGGGTATGTTTTGGGGCGCTTACCTTTCTAGGTGCCTGATCCTGTTGATGGCAGACATCGAATGCTTCCAACCACACGGGTTTCTAGAGCCATTACTCCCCTTGAACTCTAAGGGATCCCGGTTCTGGCCGTGGTCCCCGGTAGGCCTAAGAACTCCATACACATGACTGATGCCAAAGTCTGACATTAGCATATCAGCCTGGGATAACTCCGGGGAGCCGACGGGGCTCCCCCAGAACAGGGGAATAATACAGAATAATTAAAACAAGAAATATACAGAAATTCATATGCACTTCACATGCAAAACTTTACAGTGGAATTTATTATACTTCGGCTGAAGATGATTAGTTTCTACTTATATTGATGAGTTGTATAGCTGGAAAGGAAAACCCACTGTCATCATATAATTAAGATGCTTCTCCATTAAAATTACTAACCTTATGAACAGTTGCCCCTAGTGAAGCCAAGACGTTCAAACATTCTACATCCACCTTACGGGTATACGTTTGTCCACAAACTGGATATACCTTCTCAAATCCTGCCATCTGAGTTACCAATTCATCAAGCTTCTTGACCTTCTCATTATCACCTGTAGTAAATACATGCAACTTTTATTAGAATTACTGTATTTAAATGCACAAAGAAATCACATGTGATTTATTTTCTTACTGCAATTTTATTTATTGTTATCTTTATTATTGTAAATATGGTCACTTCCTGCAACTACCGGTATATAACATTAAAATATTAACACTTAAAATGGCCATATGTTGGCCTCCATGTTGATATAGTGCAATGTTGTCGTCTCATGATGATTTATGTTTTGTGTCAATGCTTGAATACCAATGTTGCTCTCAATCTTGTCTCCCAGCAGTCACGGTAGGCCACAAAATGCTTTGAAATCAAATGCACTTCAGATTTTAGTCTCTTGTCAACATATGAGGGTTATAGTACTTACCAATATAAAGATCTGCAATATATATATATATATATATACATATATATATATTGTGACGATAATCTCCTTCAAGAGATTGAGCCTGCTCTTCCCTCCACAAATACGTCGATACAGAGCACCACTTGGTTTCCGAACCCCTTGGGGACGAGACCCGTCGGTTAACATTTAAGTTCGTATACGAGAAATAGAAGGGGAAAAAATAAACTAGAAATGTAAAAAGAAATTTTTCCGAAAAAACTCTAGGGAAAAAATTGACAGGTTCATAGCGTAAATGCGACTGTGTTTTGTTTGTACTCACCAATAAGTGAAGTCCTGATCCGCTTTATAAAAGTCCTTAATTGTTCCTAACTGATTATTAAGACGTCTGGCAAACATCCTCTGGATGTTTCCTGCCAGCCTGCCTGCCAGCCTGCAGGAACATCCTGCCAGCCTACAGGAACGTCCTGCCAGCTTGCCTGCCAGCCTGCAGGAACATCCTGCCAGCCTGCCTGCCAGCTTGCCTGCCAGCCTGCAGGAACATCCTGCCAGCCTGCCTGCCAGCTTGCCTGCCAGCCTGCAGGCACATCCTGCCAGCCTGCCTGCCAGCTTGCCTGCCAGCCTGCAGGTACATCCTGCCAGCCTGCCTGCCAGCTTGCCTGCCAGCCTGCAGGCACATCCTGCCAGCCTGCCTGCCAGCCTGCCTGCCAGCTTGCCTGCCAGCCTGCAGGAACATCCTGCCAGCTTGCCTGCCAGCTTGCAGGCACATCCTGCCAGCCCGTAGGCACATCCTGCCAGCCTGCAGGCACATCCTGCCAACCTGCAGGCACATCCTGCCAGCCTGCAGGCACATCCTGCCAGCCTGCAGGCACATCCTGCCTAAAATATACGATGATGTACTGTACATTTAAAAAACAAATCTGGGTCACAGGTCTGTGGAGTGTGGTTAGGCTTACGGAGTCAGCTGGTCCCTCCCCCACCACCGATACACCTCCCCCTCTCCCCCCACCCCAAACCCATACACACACACACACACTCAAAGGTCACGTGGTTCATGGTTCACTTCAACACCCATATATCGTTTCCTGCCTGCCTGCCTCCTTCCCAGCCTGCAAGCCTGCCTGCCTGCCTGCCTGCCTGCCTCCTTCCCAGCCTGCAAGCCTGACTGCCTGCCTGCCTCCTTCCCAGCCTGCAAGCCTGCCTGCCTCCTTCCCAGCCTGCAAGCCTGCCTGCCTGAATGCCTACCTGCCTGCCTGAATGCCTACCTGCCTGCCTGAATGCCTACCTGCCTGCCTCCTTCCCAGCCTGCAAGCCTGCCTGCCTGAATGCCTACCTGCCTGCCTCCTTCCCAGCCTGCAAGCCTGCCTGCCTGCCTGCCTGCCTCCTTCCCAGCCTGCAAGCCTGCCTGCCTGCCTGCCTCCTTCCCAGCCTGAGAGCCTGCCTGCCTGCCTGCCTGCCTGCCTGCCTCCTTCCCAGCCTGCAAGCCTGCCTGCCTGCCTGCCTCCTTTCCAGCCTGCCTGCCTGCCTGCCTCCTTCCCAGCCTGCAAGCCTGCCTGCCTGCCTCCTTCCCAGCCTGCAAACCTGCCTGCCTGCCTGCCTCCTTCCCAGCCTGCAAGCCTGCCTGCCTGCCTGCCTCCTTCCCAGCCTGCAAGCTTGCCTGCCTGCCTGCCTCCTTCCCAGCCTGCAAGCCTGCCTGCCTGCCTGCCTCCATCCCAGCCTGCAAGCCTGCCTGCCTGCCTGCCTCCTTCCCAGCCTGCAAGCCTGCCTGCCTGCCTGCCTGCCTGCCTCCTTCCCAGCCTGCAAGCCTGCCTGCCTGCCTGCCTCCTTCCCAGCCTGCAAGCCTGCCTGCCTGCTTGCCTCCATCCCAGCCTGCAAGCCTGCCTGCCTGCCTGCCTCCTTCCCAGCCTGCCTGCCTGCCTCCTTCCCATCCTGCAAGCCTGCCTGCCTGCCTGCCTCCTTCCCAGCCTGCAAGCCTGCCTGCCTCCTTCCCAGCCTGCAAGCCTGCCTGCCTGCCTGCCTGCCTCCTTCCCAGCCTGCAAGCCTGCCTGCCTCCTTCCCAGCCTGCAAGCCTGCCTGCCTGCCTGCCTCCTTCCCAGCCTGCAAGCCTGCCTGCCTGCCTGCCTGCCTCCTTCCCAGCCTGCAAGCCTGCCTGCCTGCCTGCCTCCTTCCCAGCCTGCCAGCCTGCTTCCTTCCCAGCCTGCCAGCCTGCTTCCTTTCCAGCCAGCCTGCCTCCCTCCCTGCCATCATGCTAACGGGTAGTGTGTGTTAGGCTTATCTTCGGGAATGAGCCGGTCTCACCCCCACCACCAACAAACCACCCGCCCCCCTACATCCCATCTCTCAAGGTCACGCGGTTCAACCGCGTGACTACCACTCACTCCCTGCCTGCCAGCCTGCCTGCAAGCTAGCCTGCCTGCCTGCCTGCCTGCCTGTGCCTGCCTGCCTGTGCCTGCCTGCCTGTGCCTGCCAGCCTGCCTTTCCCTCCCTAATTCTCACTACTTCCATCCCTTCCTGCCTACCTCCTAGCATCTCTCCCTACCTCCCCCTCCCTCTTAGCATCTCTCCCTACCTCCCCCTCCCTCTTAGCATCTCTCCCTACCTCCCCCTCCCTCTTAGCATCTCTCCCTACCTCCTAACATCTCTCCCTACCTCCCCCTCCCTCTTAGCATCTCTCCCTACCTCCTAACATCTCTCCCTACCTCCCCCTCCCTCTTAGCATCTCTCCCTACCTCCTAACATCTCTCCCTACCTCCCCCTCCCTCTTAGCATCTCTCCCTACCTCCTAACATCTCTCCCTACCTCCTAACATCTCTCCCTACCTCCCCCTCCCTCTTAGCATCTCTCCCTACCTCCTAACATCTCTCCCTACCTCCTAGCATCTCTCTCTCCCCCTCTCTCACTGATTCTCCCCCCCCTCATTCATACTGCCTCCCACCTAAGCTCCATCGTCCATCCACCCACCAGTCAGCCATCACTGACGCAATGCGTGCATTTGGAGCCAACATGGTGCACAGATGTTTCTTGATTGTGCAGATATGTAAAACAAAAGCACAGAATGAACATTCCAGCCTTATGGCAATTCAAAATAATAGGAATAATAGGCCGTGAATCTGTGAAGTCACAGCGGGCAAACTGGACCATCTCCCACCCACCACCACAAGCCGGCGTGACGCTTGGTGGACCCCTTCCTACCCGAACTTTGTTCGGGTAGCATGACTCCCCAACCCCAATCGGGAAACTGGAAGTTTCGGATAACTAAAGTTCGGAAACCAAGTGGTGCTCTGTACATCTATATAAAACTACTATGGAAGAAATGTCCAACAATGACAACAACACCAGCAAGGTTTGCCAGAGCGCAAAACGTATGCAGCCAGGGACACCTGCTCAGACTCAAACCGCCAAACTACCTGTCTTGCTGGCGGCTCCTCGCTGATTGGTCGCCGGTCTGGCTGCAACTGCACTCGCCCACCATACTACTTGATGTCTGGGGCCGCCACGACCTCAGTCCTCAGAATATTCAGTGCTTTCTCACAGTTAACACTTCTCCCTGCTAGACGTAAGCTTTGGCGTACGTGTACTAAGAGAGGTGATAGCTTAAAGCCAATATTCCCGCACCTCTCATTTTTTTGTATATTGCACTTCTTGTTATTTTGCTCACTTGTCTTAACGTAACTTTTCATTGTGTCATTTAATTATTCTTATTATTTTGATTGATTGATTTTATTATACGAATTTGTTTGTCCATTTTATTCATGTTTTGTTTATTTAACGTAATTAAAATTCCATTGTTAAAATTTACTTGTGTTTTGTGTGTCTTCTCCTTACCTTACCACAGACGAAGTTCCAGATTTTCTATTTTTTTTTATACTATGTGACGAGGCCATACCCCTAGCTTTGAACAGCCGAACACCAACGCGTTACCGTCACATATTATATGGGGGCCTGTCCTAGGAGCTTCACTCAGGTACTGGTGCCAAGTGGTAATTAATGGTAAGCGTATTTAACTTTGTTAACGTAGTTTTTACTATTTTTCATATTCAATTTCATTTTTTATATGGTGCGGTGTATTGTGCATTACGAGAGTAACATATAGTGAAGGTGAGACAATTTTGGATTACGTGGTGACTGTAGGCCGCAGTCATACTCTTAATTGGTCATCTCTCCCTCCGTGTTATTACTTGTGTTTACCATCTTTGTCCCTTGGATATTTCTCATTTTTGACAGATCATCATATTGGTACCCTGGTACTGTGGTCTGCCCCGGGTCAAGAGTACCCAATCTTCTGCAATCTGACTGTAGGAGGACAAAGAGGGCCATAGTTCCTCTAGCTCGAACTTTAGTTGCTGAATTGGGACCTCAGCAGCAGTTCTCGTCACCAGTTGACACCTCGCACCCCTACACGTCAGTCAGAGATGATGATACATACAACGGTAGGGAATTAGCTTACTTTTTCAGAGCACAAAAGTTCGCTAATTCTGTAAGTATCATATTAAATTCAGTAGGAAAAACTTGCTTTATGTCCTATAGAGACTTGGCAAGGTATGCCTACATCCTTGGACTACCAATTTTACTTTTGAGGCAATTTACTGTTTCATTTGTTTTCGAAACTCTGTTTCATTTGTTAGTAGGATTTTCTTGCCCTTATCCTCTTACAT